TTCATCAATATACCTACCCCAGCAGTCCTCGTACTGCCATCTCGTTCAGCATTGCCTAATTCTTCAAGAGCAAGCATGTCGATTGCATCAGGATCTCTACCTCTAGCTTCACCTCAAACAAGCTGATCTCTTAATTTGAACTAATATCGAGAATAAAATAGTGCCGAATTAAATAGTGCGATGATTTTGAACAATTTTTAGGTACTGAAAAAATTTTCATAGAAAAAAGTTGTTGATACCTTCAGCGATACTGGAAGCGGGTGACGGAGAAGCAGAAAGAATTAAGTCATTCCTGGCGAAAGAAAAGCTTGACTTAGACTTTGCTGGAGAAACCTAAAAATAGAGGGTGGCTGGGACCGACAGGCCAAAACAGCAAAGGTTGTAAATTCAATTAAAATAGATGTGATACCTACTAAGATTAATATCATCGCAAAATTACACGAAAAAAATCATATCGGTTCTCACTGAACAAATAACTGGAATTTTCATCCTACGAAAATTTGCTCCACCAAAAACTAAGATACATTCCATGAATTTCAAAAGAATGGCCTCACCTCATTGTTCTGCGATTGAGTATTAGATGTTTCTGCTGCATTCGTATCCTTCCCTAAGGGGTGCTCTAAACTCAATACAGAGTAAAACAATCAGCTCAAACGGAGTTTCTGCCTTGCCTTCAATGTCATCCAACGTTTCCAGTAAACTGCCCTTCGATTTTTCAAGCTTCTTCATCATAGCAACTTTCTCTTTGATAGAAACTTTCATTTGAGCTTCCTGCTGTTCACGAATTGACAACGTTTTCTTTCCATGAATACTGAAAGGACAAAACTGAGAGAGATTCAAACTAAAGGCAATATAACTTACCTCATGTGTTTCACACCACCACTGCTGCAAGGTTCCGAACCCTCCCTAACACCTCTTTTAAGTTTTGTCTCCAACATTTCGTCTGAAATCAAAACTTAGTGGCAAATGGTAGAGGCGTTGCTGAGGCGACACCCACCATAGCGCTTGTTAATATCATCATGACTGATAGCGGCATTAAATGCTCCAGTTTGTTTTGAACCTCGTCCTCTTTTCGAGCCTCGACCTCTCGCTCTTGCACTGACTCCACCTCTTTTGCTATTCGAAGCCTAAAAAAGAAAATTTGTATAAAATCGTTACTCTCCGATCCTTGAAGAGCTACAACCCACAATTGGCACAAAGTTCAATGCTTCCGCTCCTAAAGCTAACAACTCGTCAGCTTCTTCGTCATTCAGCTCAGATAGCACCAAATCAGGAACAGGTGGGGGCACATCATTCA